CAATGGAGGAAGCGGGTGCTTGATATGGATTGAGGAGCTGATTGACATCAGACAGCTATCTCAATCAGGACAGGATATCTACATTAGGATGTCAGCTTCAGAAATAGGTAATATGCAATTTACTGAGTTTTTCTTTATTACACAATGCTTGTTATCAAGAATGATGTATTGGATAGTTCAATTCTGTAAGGCTGATTAATGAACGAAGAGTAATGCATTTACAGGGAATTTAGTTGTAAACATCCTCAAGCAATGGATCCTTTTATTGAGAATAAGACTTATATGACCATCTTGTTCTTCAATAAAATAATTTGCACAGGATTTAAAAAGTTTATCAGAAATTCTAATTCACACAACTACCTAAAGAAACTTTTGGATGGAAAATGTTGCAGGTTCTGCTGGATCAAGTTCAAAGGGAGATAAATCTGTTATACTTGCAGTAGCTTTGCCACTATTGTTTGCGTTGATTCTTCTAGGTTTAGGTGTTGGCCTGATTCTTTATAAACGGAGAAGGAGAGAGGATCCAGTGGTTACGACAAGGGGTAAGTTAACATAACAAGTTTTTATCTGTTGAAAAGCCGGAAGTAATTAATGGTTATTAGTTCTGTATTCCATTAGTATCTCTTTTCAAGCTCGTCGTTTGAACAAAGTCTGCTTGGTTGTTCAAATTGCAGGGAGATTTAGTGGTCACAACAACAAGAATGATAACAGTAATCAAAGTCACCATGAAGATTTTGAGCTACCACTTCTTGATTTGCTTACATTAATCAATGCTACTGACAACTTTTCAATTGCGAACAAGATTGGAGAGGGTGGCTTTGGACTAGTTTACAAGGTAGAAACATTTGATCCTTGAGAGCACATTGAAACCTTAAATCGATTTAACTTTTTTGGTTGAAATGAAAGTAAGTTTTACTTTTACAGGGTGTGTTAGAAGGGGGGCAAGAAGTAGCAGTGAAGCGGCTATCAGAAACATCAAATCAAGGATTTCACGAGTTCAAGAATGAAGTTAACTGCATTGCTAAACTTCAGCATCGAAATCTTGTAAAGCTTCTAGGATGCTGCGTTCAAGGAGAAGAGAAGATGTTGGTCTACGAATACTTGCAAAACAAGAGCCTTGATATATATATATTTGGTTAGTCTTTCACATCCAGTGTGCATCCATTTCTTTCAAGTGAACTTCTGATGTGATTTCACTGAGCTTTGTTTCATGTTTAGGAGAAATTATAATAAGTTGAAAACATTTGGCAGATGAAGAAAGGAGCGCATTACTTGATTGGCCAAAGCGCTTCAACATTATCAATGGAATTGCTCGTGGACTGATGTACCTCCATCAAGATTCGAGGCTCAGAATCATCCACAGAGACTTGAAAGCTAGCAATGTCTTACTTGATACTGAAATGAACCCAAAGATATCAGATTTTGGGATGGCTAGAAGTTTCGGAGGAGATGAGACAGGAGCCAATACACGTCGTGTTGTTGGAACATAGTAAGATTTAAATCTTTGATTATACATATAGTTATGCACATTCACACATTCATAAAAATAGCTGGCTTTGTCCAGAGTAAAAGCTCCTCTGCCCCATTTAAGATTAAACCCACTCCACTCCGTTGCCATCTCTAAATATGTAATCCTGTCATTTCTTTGTTGCAGTGGTTACATGTCCCCGGAATATGCAGTCGATGGGATATTCTCAGTGAAATCAGATGTCTTTAGCTTTGGAGTATTAGTACTAGAGATTGTGAGCGGAAAGAAGAACAGACGATTTGTTCATCCAGACCACCACCTCAACCTTCTTGGACATGTAAGTACTGTGTCCTAACTCCTATGTGTAAAAGGACTTCATTCAAAGTATCTGTTAATGAGTTCAAGAGTAGTATATAAACTATTGACATTGCAGTGTATATAACTTAAATCGTTTGTTAACGGATGAATCATTATATGCAGACATATATGCTACATAAAGAAGGAAGATCATTGGAGCTAGTTGATCCAAAACTGGTGGACTCATGTAATATATCAGAAGTACTAAGATCAATCCATGTAGGTTTGTTATGTGTTCAACAAAATCCAGAGGACAGGCCAAGTATGTCAACTGTGATTATGATGCTGAGCAATGAAGGCATTTTGCCATCAGCTAAACATCCTGGCTTCTTTACTGAAAGGAAAATTGGTGATGTTGATCAATTTTCTTGGAGTACACAAACACCAAGTTCTATTAATGAAGTTACCATCACATTGTTGGATGCTCGATAAGAAGAATGTCGAGTGATTTATCAGATGATCATTCAACTAATAATTACTATCTTAGAAAGTCACTTTCTTTGTTGAAAGAACATTGAAATGTGCTTTTATGAGATAACAACTATTACTGAGTAACCATCTGAGAAATCAACCAGAAGAATGTCATAGTTGGTTCCATCTTACATCATTTCGTAGAATTGTATTAAAATCGTCTCCTCTTTTCTATTTTATTTTATTTATTTAGTTAGAAAATTTTGTATTACAACAACATACACAGTGTGATCCCATTTGTATTCTTTTGTAGTAATATATTTGTCTACATTTTACGTTAGGTCTCGAGTTCAAATTTCTACTACTTTTTGTCCCTCATTCCTACATTTGATCACTTTTTGCTTTCATTAGACCTTTTCATCTAAAATTACACTCATCGTTAGTAGAAAGTCTTCGTTTTTATCCCTTGACCCCAAAAAGAGCTTCAACCTTATTGAGATATTTTAAGTCATATTCAAAAGTTAAGGGGTACATTTGGACTTTCTGAATTATAAAATTTGATGCGTGTGTCTACCTGTACGCTCCACTAGCAACTATAATAAAACACAATTTGCTAACGTCAAAGGTATGATTGAAACAAAAGTTCAAAGTAGAGACAAAATTAAAGAAATTGTAGGAAGATCTAGCAAGGACAACAAATTTGTGTAAATCTGGTTTTGTTTGTCATGGTGACGTTAGTCCCACGTCCTAAAAGAAATATAACAATGAATAATTTGATATCCATAAAAAAACACATAATTTTTAAAAATAAAAAATAAACAACTAGCTAGAATCTTCCCTGTTAATTATATTTCCCTTTTTAAAAAAATACCTGATAATATTTTAAAATAAATTGAGACAGAAAGAAAGAGGAAAAGTGTGATAGGATGGTGGACTCTATAGCCATGTGTGTCTTTTACTATTGTCGTCATCCATTAATTTCTTAATTGACCAAAGTTTATTTTATTATTGATATTGATAAAATGACCAAATAGAATATGTAATTATTGGAATAGTTATTTAACATATATTAAAAAAAAATGTGCCCAATGACGTTGCATTTTATTTTTGTTCCCAAAGTCTTGCTTCAATAGAGAAGCCAACGTCATGAACTAAATTTTGTTCAATAAACATGTCTTCAAATTCACACACTATTTCTATATTGAATAACCACATTGATTTTTTTTTTGATTAATTAAAAATATATCTAGTTTCGCTTATCTAACTCACCAAACACGTAGAAAATTATAGTAATTCAGTTGATTAATTTCCTACTTTCACCTTGTTGTTGCGTTCATTTTCCTCCATCTAATCTCTCTCATCATTCGCTTAAGATTTATTACCTAATTCAACTAGACTTATTGTTTTTGTGCTTTATTTAATTCGGTCAATCATAAGTTGGTTTGAAAATCTTTTTCATAAATCATAACTTGGTGTTAAGAGCAAATTACTTGTTTATTTCACCAAGAACTTTATTTTTCTAACACTAATTATAAAGTGATAGCGTTTTACGACTTTCTTCTCACTAGTTACATGATGGTTTACAGCCAAATATTTATTCATGATTTGACCGAATTCAAAGGGGTTCGTTGAGTGAAAAATAAAAAAAATGCGATTCCTAACGTCTCCTAACTTAGCCTTAAATAAAAATGCATATTTAAAGAAAAACACACCAATCTGTTGCCCCGACCCGTTAAAAATCCGTCTTCGCATTTTCAACTAATTCTCCCGCCAGTATGTGTTCATCTTCCGTCTTAGGGTTTAAAATTGGTGTAAAATTCTGTACTCGGAGAGTCCAATCGAAATTCGATGTTCATCTGAATCGCAAATCGGCGTCGTCGACGGCGGGAACTTCGAGGTACGATTATTTTTCTTCCATCAATGGCGAAATGCTATTGCTATTGGTCCATAATTTCTTAAATTAACGTTAATACAGGTGTTAACTGTGATTTGTTTCTCCTTCCTTCCAATTTTGATTTATGTGTATGATATTAGTGATAGTAGAAGGAAATTTAAATAATGATAAAAGTGATACTTGTTTGATTAAGAAAATTTCTGATCAGAGTTTAAAATCAAAATAGTTTTAGCGAATTTGATTTATTTTAATCTTTTGATTGGTATAAAATTTGAATGAACGAACATTTCAAACTATGCCAGATAAACTGGGATCGATGGAGTACTCTAGAAGGTGAAAAAATGGATTGTAGTGACTGACAAAATGTGTGGAGAAGTACTAAAAGTAAGACAATTTGGGGATAGATTGAAATCTGTAGATAATATTGTTGTAGTTAAGAACAGTTTTAGGGACTGGCGAGGCTTCATTATATTTCATGAATCTTGTGTTTGGATTTGAGATTGTTGTTCTTGAATTCAATTAATGTGATTACTCTCTTGCTACTCCGACAGTGTTTTTCCATAAACTGATTGCAGCATCAAATTTTGCTTGAGGTAAATATCATGACTCAACTTATATTGGAAGTTAACAAAAAACGAAAGCAAATTATTCTATCAAACAAAGTGATGCCTTAGTATTAACTATTAATATGACGAGGAAACAAACATTGAATGAGATTGAGAAGTAACAGCCAATCAACAAGCTTTCAAATTTACATATGTTCGAAATAGCTGATACACCAAATATTTTTCTACTACATTTCTACAAAGAATAAAAGAAAAGATTTTTTCCAACTGCAAGCTTGTTGAAAACAGGTGAAACAATATTTTCTTATTGAGCAACCAATATTGTGATGGGGGTCTCAGTATGGCTAGACGAGAGTTCACCATCCGGTGCATCTGTTTCAATGTAAAAACCTGGCCGTTTAGCCTGTGGCAATACAGCTTTATTGTTTAACATCATAACCACAGAAGACATACTTGGACGATCTTCTGGACATTGTTGGACACATAATAGACCAACACAGATTGATCGTTCCACTTCAGGTGTTGAACAAGAATTCCCTAGGTATTCATCAAGTAGTTCTGTCGACCTGCCTTCTTTATAGAGTTTCCATGCCTGTAGATTACACGATTTAATAAAGCTGACTAGATTTGCAGATATCTGTTACTAGGAGATAACATAACACCACAGGATAAGTAAAATTAAACTAATGAAATCTTACAAGTCCAAGTAGATTAAGGTTGTGGTCTGGATGAGAGAATCTTCTGTTGCTTTTCCCACTCACAATTTCCAATATTAAGATACCAAAGCTAAATACATCTGATTTTACTGAGTATCTCCCGTGCAATGCATATTCCGGTGAGAGGTACCCACTGCATAGAAATGTAAACAAAAAATAGAATTACCAATGCTGGAAAACGTACCTAATATCTCAAAACTCTTCTTAGGTTCAAATTTCTAGCTATCAAGTATAAGGTTCTTACTGTGTTCCAACAACTTGGTTTGTCTTGTCCCCAATGTCATTCCCATCACATATTTTTGCAATGCCAAAGTCTGATATCTTTGGATTCATGTCCTTGTCTAACAAGATATTGTTAGCTTTCAGATCTCTGTGGATTATCCTCAATTGAGAATCTTGATGCAGATACATAAGTCCCCGAGCTATGCCATTGATAATGTGAAATCGTTTAGGCCAGTCTAATACCTTGCTTTGTATGTCATCTGCCAAATAATGTTGGGTCATTAACACACTAAATAGGTTTAGTGGAAGGTAGTATTAAAACCTAAAACAAAATCAGTTCCTTGCTGATGGAAACATAATACGAGAAGTTTGAACTACCAAGTATGTAATTATTAGGCTCTTATACAACTGGGGTCTTAGTTCTCTCCTTACATTTTTTTTCCTGCTTTATGGGGATTTTGAAGTTGGAAGAAAATCAGTGTATGCCTATAGGCATCAATTCACTGAAATGCAATTATTATTCAAATGCATAATATTGGACTGAGAAGTTGTACCAAATATAAATGAATCAAGACTCCCATTTGGCAAGTACTCATAAATCAACATTTTTTCTTCCCCTTCAATGCAACAGCCAATAATCTTCACCAGATTCCTTTGCTGAAGTTTAGCAATATATAAAACTTCATTTTTGAACTCTTTTTCTCCTTGTGTAGAAGTTTTAGACAACCGCTTGACGGCTATTTCCTGTCCTTCAAGTATGCCCTAAACATCACAATCTCTGCATGTTAATATTTTCAATACCTAAGTTGATCAAAATCTCCATTAACAAATTTAGGTCAAATGTGCCAAATCTCTATTATAAGTTCATTATATTTTAGTTTAGCCCTATGATAATCTTCTTTAAAACTAAAACTAAAGTCTATAAGAAATATTCGCCCTTTTGATGCGGGAACAAGTTGCCACTTGTCACCATGGAAAGATGAACAAATAAATGGCTACAAAGAACAAATGACTCTCTTCTTAAACAAACTATATCCTCAACACTTTAATCTGCAGTTCCACCCAAAGGGTGATGGGTTACTCTTGCAGCACTTTCTTGAAAATGCTAAAAGCTCTATATTGACTAACTTGGGACAACACTTATTGAAAAGCTAAACTAGTGGTTCTTGGATACATTCTGAGGACATCCTCCATATCCCAACCTTTCTTCCCTTAGCTATTGTATAGGTCTCCTTTTGGTTTCACAAAGCAAAGGCTTATACCTTTGATCATACAACTCCTATATTGTATTTAAAGAAGAAGGTTTACTCTGAAGACCCAGGTCTTAAGTGTATATACCTTGTAAACAGGTCCAAAGCCCCCCTCTCCAATCTGTCTGTCAATTGAAAAGTTATTGGTAGCCTTTGCTATGGTAGATAAGTCGAACAGTGGTATTTCAAATTCTTCAGTGCAATTGCCACGGTTGTAATTCATCTTGTAATTGCCACTGTATCCTGACCTTCCTGCCAAAACCAAATGACATAATTTTGCCTATAAGAGAAAGCGAATGAAGTGAAAGTTCTTTTCAGTATAATTTAAATGTCTTTTCCTCTATTTTGCTTAGACTTTAGATGTCAAGAAAAAATTAAGGGGTATCCAGCTTACCTTTGTTTTTGAGCTCTAAAGCCTTCTTCCTTCTTCTATGGTAGACCACCAGAGTAAGGAATACCAGAATCAAACAAACTGATAATGGTAGAATCCAGAAAAGTACTTTCCTTTTCTTTCCATCTGATTGCTCCAGACTATCTGCAAGTATCAATTCAACAAACATAAATAATAAATTGCAATTATCCTATCCATCGAAGATGATTTTTATTTTGAGTTTTAAAAGGTTCTGCAAGCCTTTGGAGTACTGCACATCCTTTTTAGTTTGTTGAGGTTGAGTTGTCAAGGTTCTTCAATTCCTTGTGTAATGCAAGTCATATCAAATGTTTGTTCTATAGTCATCATGCTTGCAGATTTGGCTTATAAATTCATACCAACTTCACTCAAAAATAGTTGCTTTCTGTACTGCTATTATTTGGTAGTTATGGGCTATATATGGTAGGAGTTGGCAGTAGATAGTATCATAGTAAGCATAGGCACAAAACTACAGTCTGCTTTATTAAAGTGCCTGCAACCTTAAATTCCTTTACTATCTTCAGGCAATCTATCAAAAAAATAAATAAATTAAGTTGCAACAAGCCAACCTGATTCAGAAGAAGCCATTCTAATGTAGATATCTTGCCCTCCGTTGGGCCCCTGCCGAATGTCAAGCAGATCCTTGAACCACAATAAGCATCCACTTCCTCCGTTGAGTATGTCAGAATTGGAGTAAGCCATACAAGAACAATTTTTAGAGCAGGTATTCTTGCATTCTTCTAGTGTCATAGCCACATTGGACCAGGAATTCCGTGTGTCTGGCAATTTGATATGCGAATACTTCAAAAATACATCTTCTTGGAGGCAATTTAGTTCAGTTCTCCGAACACAGCCACCTGACCAGTCTTTCCTCTTCCAAGCATCACTATTGTTGGGCACAAATTTGTCTAAGCATCCACATTCTGGAGAATCTTGACTGTTGCAGCTGCCATATGCGCCACACAACTTATACATATCACAGTTATTAGCGGGTATTAAGAGGAAAGGGATCCAACCTTGGTCTCCATCACCCCAAGTCCAAACCTGTAGGACTCCATTGTGACTTAATGTCAACCTCACGAGAATTGAAGTTGTGAGGTTATATCCAAAATACACCTCTGTCTTACTTGAATATACTCCAAATGTATAGGAAGGACCTTCTCTTGAGTTTTGGTTCCCACTGAAAGAGCGACCATTCCATGGTCCAGAACGGTATACTACATCCGAGCCCTTCTTCAGGATATTCTGCGGGTAACCAGAAGGATCACAGTTGTATGTAGAATCACCGGGAGCTGGATCCTCATCATTCTTCCATGATGACAAGTACACCTCTCTGCCAGTTGCAAAGTTCCTACCAAGCTTCATGCCTGCTAATAGCGTATCCGTTGGGTGATCAAAGCTCTGCCATATCAAATTCCCCGGGCTATCATCACCAGCTTCTTTGACAATAAGATTTCCAGAATCTAGCAACTGCGCTACAGGATTCTGCACAGATCTAGTGGTATTAGTTGACCACACAACATGGCTAGTGCCATTGACAAGGACAAGAATTCCTGGCTTGATTATTTTCAAGATACCTAATCCACCAGTCAAAGGAGCTTCTCTGTTGGCAACCCACACCACTGTCCTAACAGATGTGTTCTTATACCACATACCCACATAGCGATTTTTCGAATTACCTGGACTGAAGAACCCCATTTCGAATATTCCACCAGTTGAAGCAACATTATCATCACCATCTTTCAGAAAATGAGTTGTAGTTATTGTATCTGTAGCGCCAAAGCTTCGGTTGATGAAACACAAACACAGGAGCAAAGATAAGTAAAAACTTTCCCTTAGTAATGCCTTCATGCTTTGAGATCCAATTTTTTTCTATGTCAGCATAGTAATGACACTTTTAACTTGTTTTAAGACAGTGAATCTTACAAGAAGAAACTGAACAAACGAGTGTTAAAATAGCCATCACTTGAGCTTTCTAACATATGAAAGAGTATTATTTGAAAGGAGTGAAAGGTCTATGACTATGAAAAGTCTTAGCTTTTTAATGAGAGTTGAGGCTGCTTCAAGTCATGGCTGCTTATAAAAAAAGTTAATGGCTGCTTTTGGTGGACTTTAGAGTATATATTTTACGATTAATTTAGTAAAATGCATATCTGCTCTGAGCAGTATCAAACATGAGGAAAATGTTGCTGCAGTTCAAAGATAATGGGGTCTTCATAGATTGCTATAAAATCTGACTGGATAATAACCAAGACTAAACGGGGGCTGTTGTGGAATTAAGAAATATTATAGGTGGTCAATAGTTCTTGACTTTTTGAGCATGAAAGAATTAGATAATATTTTAATATCTTGTTAGAAATTGTAATAATTTTATGTCCTAGCAAGTTTTCCGAATAAAATTTCAGAAAAAAGTGAAAAGTATTCGTGGTTAAATGGGCATTAATATAAAGGACTATATTTTTCTTTAGAGGCACCGTAAAATTCTATAACATTAATAATTGAATATAACTCGATCGGCCTTACATATTTCATTTCTTTCCTCCTCTCTCCCTATGTATAACTATAAAAGGCTACTAACAATTTTGATCTAATTATTGATAAATTTTAATTCTAATTCTTGTGGTATTTGACGGCACATATTTAACTTTCAATTACTTGAAATGTGCACTATGATCCCTTAGCTTGAGAATAGCACAAAAAATTGAAATTATTAATTTTTCTATCATTTAATTATTCATGTGTTGTGTTAAGAGGATGATATGCCTTTAAAAAAGTTTAAATATCCAAATTTCCTACGTAAATAAATCAAAATCACACATTTTAGTCAACAAGATTAAATGTGTTGAGAGTAATACTCACCCCGTTCATTTTTATTAATTCAGTTGCATATTCTTCAAGAAATAATGATCATGATTGACTTAGATTATTTGATGACAATATCTATATTAATTGATGTTTAGTTAGGTAGCCTAAAACATTGAAAATATAAGGACAAAAATGAACGGCACCACCAGACACCTGTTCGCATGAATTACGCATCAGTGGAGGGAAAATCCAACTAAACTCCTCATTTCCCTCTCTTTCGTTTTGCCCGATCATCAACCCTTTGTCAAATCCCCTATCATTTTCATCTAATTCTACTGCCGATATGCATTCATCTGTATCTATGAGGAAGTTCATCTTTGATTCATAAATTGGTGTAAAGTTGTATAATTGAAGTTGTACCTCCATTTCCTTTTTCAGTGCTCGGCGCAGACGAAGCTTTTTTAGCTCATAATCAGGCGAATCCAATCAAAATTCAGTGCTCCGAATCGGCCAACGCTACCGGCGGCTAACTCGTGGTACGAATATTTTTCTTTTATCAATTACGAAATGCTATTGCTACAATTAACGTTATATATAGGGTGTGTTTGGTATGAAGGAAAACATTTTCCGGAAAATGTTTTCCAATTTTCTCATGTTTGTTGGGTTAAATGTTTTGGAAAATGTTTTCCAAATCAACTCATTTTCCTCAAATTTAAGGAAAATGACTTTCCTTCAAAACTTAAGGAAAACATTTTCCAAACTCTCTTCCAACTTCCAATTAAAAAAAAAAATTGTTGAAAAAATCAATTTATTTTGTCCCTACACTCAAACCAACCCCTAAAAAAAAAATTTAAAAGTTTGTTTTTAAATTCAATATTTTTACCCCACCCTCACCCTACTCCCACCCCCTACCACCACCCCTCCCAAAAATATATTAAAAGTTGTTTTTAAAAGATATTTATAATTTCAATCTTTTATTTTTTACCCCCCACCCCTACCCTCGCCCCCCCCCCCCCAGCCCCTATCAGCCCCCATCCCCTTCAAAAAGAAAAAAATTTAAGTTTGTTTTTAAAAAATATTATTTCATATTTTTACCCTTACTCTCGACCCCCCTACCCATTCCCCCACCCACCCCCTACCAGCCCCCGCACTCCCCAAAAAAAATTTTAAGTTTGTTTTTAAAAAATATTTTCGACTTCAAAATTTCATTTTTTCACCCCTACCCTCGACCCCACCCCACCCCCTACCAGCCCCCCCCACCTCCCAAAAAAAAAATTTAAGTTTTGTTTTAAAAAAAATATTTTCTACTCACCAACCAAACATGGAAAAATAAGTCAAAATCCAACTTGTTTTCCAAGAAAACATTTTCTAGGAAAACATTTTCCTTCATACCAAACACACCCATAATCTGTGCACATTGTAGAACAGGGGTTAAGTACCGAAACTTATTGCTCCCTCGTTCCCCTTTAAAATGATTGGACATGGAGTAATTGTGATTTGCTAGAGATTATAATATGACAGTCCATGGCTCCTTCAGTGTCGTTATTTTCTTTTTCCCTGAGAAGAGCGTCTATCAGAAGCAACCTCTCTATCTCGAGGTAGGGGGAAGGTATGCATACATTCAACCCTTTCCAGATCATGTTGTTGTTATTATAGTAATGACAGTAGAAAGGAAATTAAGTACAAGTAATGACTAAAATGATACTAGTTTGATTGAGGAAATGTCTCATCAAAGTTTAAAACCTGAATTTGATTTATTGAAAGTTGTGAACTGTATAGAATTGGAATGAATGGACATTTGGGAACGTTTCAAACTATAAAGATGTTGTATAAATTGGGACAATGGATTACATTGGAGAGAGAAATACTGATTGTAGTGACGGACAAAATCCATTAGTAAAGTACTAAAACTAAAACAGTTTTGCGATAGATTAAAATCCATAGATCATATCACCATGTTAAGAACAGTTTTATGGACTGATGTAACATTATCTTTTTCTATGGAGCTTGTGTTTGGGTTTGAGGCTAATGTTCTTGAACTTGATTTGTTGGTTAACCTATTCCTTGTATTGAGAAGAAACAGCCAATCAGAAAGCTTTCATATTTACATATGTGTGAGTCAGTTTGACATAGTTAATACACCAATAAGGCAAAGCCATACACAAAATTTTCACCGCACTTCTACAAAGAATTAAAGAAAAGGTTATTAAAACTGCAAGCTTGTTGTGGAAGCGAGTGGACAAATATTTTCTTATCGGGCAGCTAATATTGTGATGGGGGTCTCACTCACTGTATTCTGTGCATATAATTCACCATCTGGTGCATCTCTTTCTATGTAAAAACCTGGCTGTTTAGCCTGTGGCAATTCACCTTCATTGCTTAACATCATAACTGCAGAAGACATACTTGGACGGTCTTCTGGACTTTGTTGGACACATAATAGACCAACACAGATTGATCGTTCCACTTCGGTTGTTGAACAAGAATCACCTAGGTATTCATCAAGTAGTTCTGTTGACCTACCTTCTTTATAGAGTTTCCATGCCTGTAGATTACAAGATTTATTAGCATTTGACTAGATTTGCAGATATCTGCTACTAGGAGATAACATAACACCAAAGGATAAGTAAAATAAAACTAATCAAATCTTACATGTCCAAGTAGATTAAGGTTGTGATCTGGATGAGAGAATCTTCTGTTGCTTTTCCCACTCACAATTTCCAATATTAAGATACCAAAGCTAAATACATCTGATTTTACTGAGTATCTCCCGTGCAATGCATATTCTGGTGAGAGGTATCCACTGCATAAAAATGTGAACAAAATATAGAATTACTAATGCTAGAAAACATGCTTAATATCTCAAAACTCGTCATAGGTTCAATTCCTAACTACCCAGTTGAAGGTTCTTACTATGTTCCAACAACTCGGTTTGTCTTGGCTCCATTGTCATTCTCTTCACATATTTTTGCTATCCCGAAGTCTGATATCTTTGGATTCAAGTCCTTGTCTAACAAGATGTTGTTAGCTTTCAGGTCTCTGTGGATTATTCTCAATTGAGAATCTTGATGCAGATACATAAGTCCCCGAGCTATACCATTGATAATGTGAAATCGCTTAGGCCAATCTAATACCTTGCTTTGTGCGTCATCTGCCAAATAATGTTGGATCATTAACACTCAAGTAGGTATAGTGGAAGGTACTATTGAAACCTAAAACAAAATCAGTTCTTTGTCGATGGAAAAATAATACGAGAGTACAATTATTATTCAAATGCTTAATATTGGATTGAGAAGTTGTACCAAATATAAATGAATCAAGACTCCCATTCGGCAAATACTCATAGATCAACATTTTTTCCTTCCCTTCAATGCAGCAGCCAAGAATCTTCACCAGATTTCTGTGCTGAAGTTTGGCAATATATACAACTTCATTTTTGAACTCATTTTCTCCTTGTGTGGAAGTTCTAGATAACCGCTTGACAGCTACTTCCCCTCCTTCAAGTATGCCCTAAACATCATAATATCTGCATGTTAATATTTTGAATATTTAAGTTGATCAAAATGTCGGCTCACTATAAAGGTTTAAGATGCAGAAGAGAGAGATAATTTAACTCGTAAAAATAGATCCGGAGAATGTTTAGATATGTACAAGTTCATGCACCATGCACCAGAAGGATATCCCCCTAAAGACTCTAGACTGACTAACTTGAGCTAATTGTCAACAACACTTTGGAAAAGCTAAGATAGTGGTTCTAGGACACATTCTGAGAAGGACATCCCCCATATCCCCACCTTTCTTCCCTTAGCTATTGTATCTGTCTCCTTTTGGTTTCACAAAGCAAAGGTTTTTGTCATTACACCTTTGATCATACAACTCCTAAATTGTGTCTAAAGATGAAGCTTTACTCTGAAGGACAAGGTTTTAAGTGTGTGTATACCTTGTAAACAGGTCCATAGCCTCCCTCTCCAATCTGTCTGTCAATTGAAAAGTTATTGGTAGCGTTTGCTATGGTAGATAAGTCAAACAGTGGTATTTCAAATTCTTCAGCGCAATTGCCCCCACATCCTGTCCTTCCTGCCAAAACCAAATGATGTAATTTTGCTTCTAAGATATAGAAAATGAAGTGAATGTTGTCTAAGTTGCGAATATCAGACAACTATGAAGATCTTTTTACTAATATTTAAATGTCTATTCCTCTATTTTGCTTAGATGTCAAGGAAAAAAAAGGGGGATCCAGCTTACCTTTGTTTTTGAGCTCTAAAGCCTTCTTCCTTCTTCTATGGTAGATCAGCAGACTAAGGAATACCAGAATCAGACCAACTGATAATGGCAGAATCCAGAAAAGTACTTTTCCTTTCTTTCCATCCGATTCCTCCTGATTATCTGCAAGTATCCATTTAAACTAAGACAAATAATGGATTTCAATCTCTCTCAAATCCATTGGAGAGATGATTTCTTATTCTGAGTTATTAAGGGTTCTGCAAGCCTTTGGAGTACTGCATATCAAGTGCTTGTTCTATAGAAAACTAAGTGCTTACCAATTAGTTCTAAAAAATTGAACAGGGTCTAACCAGTCATATGCTTGTAGATTCAGCTTATTAGTTCAGACCAACTTCACTCTAAAGGAGTCGCTTTCCGTTCTACTATAATTTGTTAGTTCCTGGCTATATATGGTAGGAGCTGACAGTTGATACTACTAGATGTTTACAAGCATAGGCACAAAAATACAGTCTGCTTTATTCAAAGTGCTTGCAACCCCAAATTCCTTTACTATCTTCAGGTAATCTATCAAAAATCTTTAAGTAGCAACAAGCCAACCTGATTCAGAAGCAGCCATTCTTATGTAGATCTCTTGCAGTCCGTTGGTTCCCTTCCGAATGTCAAGCAGATCCCCAAACCACAATAAGCATCCACTTCCTCGTATGTCAGGGTTTGAGTAAGCCATACAAGAGCAATTTTTTGAGCAGATATCCTTGCATTCTTCTAGTGTCATAGTCACATTGGACCAGGAATTCCGTGTGTCTGGCAATTTAATATGCGAATACTTCAAAAATACATCTCTTTGAAGGCAATTTAGTTTAGTTTTCCGAACACAGCCACCTGACCAATCTTCCCTCTTCCAAGCATCACTATTGTTGGGCACAAATTTATCTAAGCATCTACATACTGGAGAATCTTGACTGTTGCAGCTACCATATGCGCCACACGAATTATAAACCTCACATTTATCTGCTGGTACTAAGATCAAAGGTACCCAACCCTGTTCTCTGTCACCCAAAGTCCAAATCTGTAGAATTCCATTATGACTTACTGTCAACCTCACAAGAACTGAAGATGTGAGCTTATACAAAAAGTACACCTCTGTCTTACTTGAATATACTCCATATGTATAGAAAGTACCTAGTCTCGAGTTTTGTGTTCCACTGAAATATCGACCATTCCACGGTCCAGAGCTATACACAACATCTGAGCCCTTCTTCACAATAGTCTGTGGGTAACCAGTAGGATCACAGTGGTATGTATAATCACCCGGAGCTGGATCCTCCTCATTCTTCCATGATGACAAGTACACCTCTCTGCCAGTTACAAAATTCCTCCCAAGCTTCATGCCTGCTAATAGCGTATCCGTTGGGTGATCAAAACTCTGCCATATCAAATTCCCCGACCTATCATCACCAGCCTCTTTAACAACAAGATTTCCAGAATCTAGCAACTGCGCGACAGGATTCTGCACCAATCTAGAGGTATTAGTTGACCACACAACATTGTTAGTTCCATCAACAAGGACAAGTCGAGACTTAATTATTTTCAAGATACCTGATCCACTCCTCAAAGGAGCTTCTCTATTGGCAACCCACACCACAGTCCTATCAGACACGTTCTTGTACCACATACCGACATAGCGATTTTCCGAATTATCTGGACTGAAGAACCCCATTTCAAATATTCCACCAGGTGAAGTAATATTATCATCACCATCTTTTAGAAAATGAGTTGTAGTTATTGTATCTGTAGCACCAAAGCTTTGATGGATTGAATGCAAACACAAGAACAAGAATAATAAGAAACTTTCCCATAGTAATGCCTTCATGATTTTACATCTAAAAAAATTATCTAAGTTTATTTGATTTAATTAGATATTTTTGTTTTTCTAGAAACACTTCTATACATCCCCTTTTCCTTTCCGTGAGACCAACCAAACTTTTTGGACCGCACATTTTTTCCCTTTGTACTACCTCCCCTCAAAATTGAAAGTCAAAGCATCAGCTTGACCACCTTTAAAATTTTACATTCGTTTCAAAAAGACTAATCTTGTTTGACTTAATACGGAATTTAAGAAAATAAAGAAGATTTTCAATCTTGTAATTCTAGATTGAAGTTATGTAGATATATCGAAATGTCTTTTAATCTTATGGTCTTAAACATGCTACGTGAAAAACTGAAATTAAAATGTTGTCAAAAAAGAAGAGTCATTTTTTTTTAAACAAACTAAAAATGAAAGTAGGTCATTCTTTTTTAAACAAAAAGAATCATCATATCATATATCATATATAAAAGAGAACTTTAGGCTCGCCTACGTGGCGCCACTACAAACTAGAATTCCCTTTTAATTTATTTATTTACAAAACTAGCCTCCCCCCTTCATGAAAAGTTATGAAATTTATGAAAAGTTGTGACTTCAATGAAGAGTTGCGACTTTTATGAAAAATTGTCACTTTAATGAAGAGTTGCGACTTTTATGAAAGGTTGTGACCTTTCCGAAGGGTCGCAACTTTTTCAAATAGTTGTAACCATTTCGATAAGGTACAATAAACATTTGTTCACACTACCCTTTGTTGTATATAAATAGAGGGATTTCATCTCATTTTAAAACAACGGAAATTATGAACCTCTTCTTCTTCACAATTAAATATTTGTGTACTTTCCTCCTATTGAGTGACTCACTGACACCATTGCTTATGTTACAGATCCTGATATGTATTTTTATAATCATTAATTTATGCTTATGTTATTAAAGATAAATGATAAGATGTAATAATTTTCATTTTCCTTTACATTATTAATATTTATTACTACGTAATCTTGTATGTAAGATAATATAATGTTTTAGTTTTAATGATCGATAGGTTTTAAGTGTTATTTTATAATTTTCATGATATTAAATTCCCGCACGAAGCGCGGATAATTTTACTATTATAATTTTATAAATTACATTTAAAACTATAGATGACTAAATTTTATATTATAACAAAACTGTTATTATTTGAATATTTTCAAATGCTTAATAATGGTGTAGTCCTTTTAATGAATACTTTTATTAGGCCACTTCAGGTTCCAATCATATACCTAACCTCAACTAGTGTTCATGGAAGTGTAAATTTCATATATGACATATATTATAGTACTATTTTCAGGTTATAGCAGTAGATTTAGACTTTCAAGCTATAACATTAAAAATTTTAGGTTATAACAAATTCACAAATAAAAGAAATGTTTTTATTAATTCGAAAAAAGTTTTAAAAAAAACGAAATTTAAAAAAAAAGGGAATTATAGATAATAAAGTAAAAAACTGAAAGTGTGGCCTGTAATTTAATTTGAATTTATTGTAGATAATTAATGATTAGCATGAAATAAGGGATTCAAACAAATTAACAATATTTTTTATCCTTAATTCACTCAAAATCAGTTAAGATAAATTAAAAAATCAGATCATATCATTTTTTTGTAGATAATTAATAATAGCACGAATTAAGGGATTTAAACTAATTAAGATTATTTAGTATCCTTAATTCACTCAAATCAGTTAAAATCAAATAAAAATTCAGATTTTATCTTCTTCTTTTTTCAACGTTTCTCTCTCTTCAATTTGCAACAAAAAAAATTCAATGTTTCTCTCTTCAATTTTCAACAAAAAAAAATCACACATTTGAGTAATTGAAGTTTTTTTCATCTTTGAAAATTCTTGATTTTGTTGTGATGGACAACTACGTATCAGTTTTAATCAAACATGGTGAAAGATGGGATCCTTCGGGTTAGTATTTATTATTGTTTAACGTTTGTTTTAGAATGATAGCGAAATGAAACAAAAATGATCAAATTGTCGATTAATTGAAGGTGGAGTCATATTTTGTTAACTGTTGATATCATATTATGTTTACTGTTGTGAAATGTAAAAAATTTAGTGTTTTTTTTGTTTATTTGTTTATTTTGTATACGGTTATTGTTTTGTGAAATTATAACTTTAATGTGATTTTATGAATAAATTTGATAGAATAAATTAAATGAAATTTGTATGAAAGTGTGTTAATTATTCTGTAATAATAATTTAATTATAATGTTGACGAATTTGAAAATTTATTTTATTTGATAATGAATTTGATAGTATAAGTCGAATGAATTATGTATAAAAAGTGTGTTAAGAAATATGTAAAAAAAAATTGGAATTCTTGACGAAGTGTATTACAAGTGTTTTAAATTGGTATTAAATGTGAAATTGTTGAGTTTATATTAGTTTTGTTATTTCTGTATAAAGTTGGGTGACAGTAATTAATTATTTGGGACGAGAAATGTATATAGTTGAATGAATAATCGTTTTGTATGAAATGTGTATTAAATGAGTATGAAAATGTATAAATTTGGTATGAATGATGATTGTTGTATGAAATGTGAATTAAGTGAATATTAAATGTGAAATATTATGTTTTGTATGAAATTTGTTTTGTAATGTACTGTCTGAATGATATTTGTATGAAAAAATAATGACGGGTGTGTATAATTTAGTTGCTATTATAATGATTTTTATGGATGAAATTTGTATTGTCTTTGAAATGAAAAGTTAATATTAATTAACATATTTCTAATTGATTTGTATAATTATAGACTAATTGTTTTTTTTTTAATGAAACAGAGAATTATGTTGATTTTCAAATGAAATGAATTATATATGAAAGAGGGTTGTTGATGTGAAATTCAAAAGGTCCAAAGTTACTTGCAGTAGATGTTGTCAAGTTGGTCACAACATGAAGCGTGTTCAAATTATCCTGTGCAAAACTAATGACTGTTTATTTGTTTAGCCTATATATAATTTTTATTTATTTTGTCATTTAGATTAATGTTTTGTTTTGATATGAAACATAATTGATTTGAAGTGCATTATAAACTTAGTGTTTAATATATCATTCATTCTTTATACATTGTTCATTCATTAATCATACAGATTGCATACTGTTAAAAATAAAATTTATTCCAGCTTAATACATAAGATAGTGTAAATATTAGTGATAATTATAAAAGATAATTATGGTATCCTGAGTATTTAATTTAATGTAAGTTTATATGAATATTAATTTGGTTTTCAACTCGTGTCCTACTATAAATAAATTTAAAACAAATTGCAGTTAGTGTTTCATTCCCACACTAACTTCAGTTAGTGTCATACACATATTAATCAAAATTGATAAATTCATATAATCACACAATTTATACCATTTGTATATCAATATTATATCACAATTCATACAATATCCAACAATAAAATATTAAACTCATAGGCATACACGTATTAATCAGATTTCATACATGTTTCATCCAAAAACATGTTTAGAATATAAAGTAAGCATAATGTGATTTTTTTTAGAAAAAATCAGTAGTTTGACAAATCATACCATTTTCATACCAATTTAATAATTTATATTATAAACACAATTAATAGACAATCACATCAATGTTAAAACGCAATTCATACCATTTGTATACATTATTATATCACAATTCATAAAATTTTCAAAATCAAAACATTTAAGCGTAGTCATACACATATTAATCATATTTCATACAAATTTCATCCAATAAATGTACAGTTTGGAACACACTAATATTTTCAAAATAGTATCTTGAAATTGTAATAGGTCATCAGTAATTCATATGTAAACGGTATCTGCCTGAAAGAAAACATATGATATTATATATCATCAAATACTTAAACACAAAAAAATTGTCCAAAATTTAAAAAAAATAACTTTTTGTTGTTCTTCTTGTTGATGGTTTTGAAGATGCTCCAACTTTTACATTTTTTTTTCTTTTTTTCTTTTTGATTTCAGTAACAAAATCAAAATCGGAATCAAAAGAGTTTTCAATAATTTTCCCCTTCATCTTCTTTCCCTTTTGATTTGCATGGGTGACCTTTTTTTTTCTTCATTTTTTCTCTCTTTGTCGCTCCTTCAACTTAGATGAACCATTCGTCGCCAGATTTTCAACAATTTCACCCAATCTGGGACTCTTTTGAGGCGTTTCAATGGGTTTCTTAGACATAATTTTGTTGGGAAAAAAAATTGGACGAAAGATTGAATGTTGGTGTAGTTGGCTGGTGAGAAAAATGGGAGAGAAGAAGGTGAAAGTGGGGTAATAGCGTGTATAGTTGGATATGTGTGGGAGAAGGGTGATGGAATTGACTAATGGGAGGTTATGAGTATAACATTAAATAAGGAAGTGTAATCAATGTAAAATCCCTATAATTGTGTAAGAGATAATTATGGGATATTTTTTATTTAAATAATTTAATAATAATATAAAACTACAAAAAATTACTTATTTAATAAAATAAAATTTAATTAATTTATAAATAATTAGTGATATGTTATAACCCGTAATTAAACT